AAACTAAAATCCCTGGTTTGTCCAGGACCACGTACAGATCCACGGTGGCTGCAGAAGGCCGGGGCTGTGCTGCCACATGGGGACTGAACCACCAACCCTGAAGTTAAGGGACGTGTGCGGCACAATCGACAAAATGTTGTCGGCTTTGGCTATCTGTTCTCAGTGTAGACAAAGCTGCATAAAATGACAGGCGAGAAGCTAAAAATGCAGAAGTGAGGCAATGATTTCAAAGATGCATTTCGTGTTGGTCGATGATATTGAAGCAAAATAGTAGGAAAAAGGCAAGTAGTTAATATTTTTGTTTTTTCTATCTATGCATATGAAAAAAAAGGAAAATTCGTGCACATGTACATGAATAAATTTGTTACATTTCCTTGTTTTTCCATGAACTGCAGTAAGAAGATGTTGGGAACTCTGTTTCTCCAAACACCTCCTACATCTCAACATAGTGCTGACTGGTTTGTCAGGTAATCTGTTGTTGGTTTTAAGTCCTGTTTAAGTCTGGACCCTGCTAACTAAAAATGCAGTGCTGGAAATTACATATTTGCAACTTAAATGTTTTTCTGTAGTTATTGAATAATCAAGTTATTTCTGTAGTACATTTTAAATAACAGAAGTTGAGCTGAAGTGGTTTCAAAACAGAAATTTATGATACCAATGAACCTGACTAATTTAAATATGAAGGTTAAGAGCCTACAGTATTATATGCAATACCAAATTACCTTTTTAATTTAACAATTAAGGTTTGGACCCATTAAAATTCCCCCCTGAGCAAGGATGTTTACAACAGTGGAGAGGAAGAACGTCCTTTTAATGTTAAGAGACTTCCAGCAGAACCAGGCTCAGGGAGGACGGCCATCTGCCTCGACCAGCTGGGGTAAGAATAAGAATAGAGATAGCAGAGACAAACAGACAACAAACAGGAGGTTGGTGTAACAGCTGATCAGACTTCTGTAGCTCCAGAGACAGAAACAGAGGTGATAGATACACCTCTGTGCAGAAATATTAATGAGAAGAAATGTTGCATCCAACAACATCTTTATCAACATGAATGTTAACGCTAATTTGAAGAGAAATTTGTGCGTCCTACCTGAATGTCTAACGAAATGCTTGTTAAAAAAATAAGTGTTCCCTTCCTTCTCGATGTCTCCCAGAAGCCCGTCCCCGTCACTGCAGAAAACCAACTGTGAATTCAGTGGTCGGAATGTTTTGACCCAACAGCCCAAATTATTCAACTTCAGTGGTTCCAGCAGTAGAACTATTAGATGTGATTTGAGGTTTTTTTGTGCTCTTTCTCAGAGATGATTACAGACACTACTTTATATTAGTGTCTATTTTACTGGGCTGCACAGAATAATTGGTTGTTGGAAGGTTCTTTAAAGTGTCACGGAGCAACAATGAGGGCTGACTTAACACCAGCAGTGCCAACTAACCCTGGTTTGCTCGTGTTTCTTCTATACATATTTGTTAGCTGCTGCGTCTCCGTGCAATCCACGGCTTTTTGTGGTTATCCAAAGACAACGTGAAAGTACTGTGTCGCATGGATGACTGTCCATTTTTGACTTGATATTGTGTCCCATCAGTAAGCCTGCTTTCATATTACAGCTTTACCTTTTCAGTCAAATGAACCAGCACACACCGCTCAGTGTCGAGGTAAACTGTGACCAAGCAGTCTGACTGATTTGATCCGTAATTGTAAGCTCAAGTCGTTTTAATGTTTTTAAGCGTTTGCAGCAGGCACAAATGGACCTCTTGTTCAAATCGGTATGTAAATGTTTCACAAGTAATATAATTGTGAGTCAGGGTGGCTCTATAGTGGAGGTATTTAAATTAGTGTATAAAAATCCAACTCTGACTCTGGCATTGTGCAGCCTTTGGTTTTTCTATAGACAATCATCTGTTATTGGATAAGTAGGTGTTATTGTGCTTGCTGACTTTCTTACTGTGTAATTTCTAAGAGAAGGCCACGACTTCATTGTAACATAGTGCAAAGCTTAATGAGGCATCATTTTAAGCATAGTGGAAAAAGCAAAACCATTTAAATATGAGTGTTAAAGTCTCAAGTTAGTGATTAAAACACTAAAAACTCAGCTGTGTATAAGAGTGACAGAAAAAAAAATCCACAAAAAAATCATCCCTTACTGCCTTGGAATGGGCTTTTTTTTTTTTTTTAAGTTATTTTTTGTCCTTTATTAGATAGGACAGTTGAGAGAGACAGGAAAGTGGGGGAAGGACTTGCAGCAAACAGCCATGAGCGGGATTCGAACCCAGGGCCGCTGCATCGGGGACGACAGTCCCTGCACGTGGGTCAACCAGGTGAGCTCAAGCCCTGATATTGGCTTTTTTTGCCAGCATCCAATATGCCGATATTGTCCAATTCTAAATTTCCGATTCCGATATGTGGGCTATTTAACTAATTTAAGGTAACATTATACATTTCCTGTCCTCATCATTTGCATGCCAGTTATCTCTGGTGAAATCCAGACATTATTTAATTGTAAGCAAAAAAACACGACATTGACAGATATTAAATTTTTGTACCAATACTGGGCCGATATTATTAAACATCCCTACTTCAGTGGAATTCTGCAGTGTGGCCTCCTCTAGAATATGCACATCTGTTAAGTCCCACGCCTGTTTCCGCCCCAACCCTCCTCTCTTGCTGCAGCTCCAGCACACCAGCACAACTCTGCTCAAACTACTGCACACTACACAATGACAAGATGTAATGTTGGGGCAATTCAGCCATACATGTTTTTTTTTTTTGGTGCCTTTATTGGATAGTGCAGTGAAAGAGCAACAGGAAAGTAGGGGAGAAGGACGTGTGGTAAAGGGCCATGAGCAGGATTCAACCTCATGACCTCCACATCGGGACTGTAGCCCTGCACACGGGACGCCAGCTCAACCAGGTGAGCTATAGCAGCGCCCTGGCCAGACATGTTTAAGTTGAAAACTGATATTGAGGAGAACAATATTACAGAAAGCTCCACCTCAAGTTGTGTATGAATCTCTGGAAGTCTGTCCTTAGTACACTGCAGTTATAAGGTGATAACGTTCAGTCATGATGTTAACTTCTTATTTTGCAAATGATACGTCATCTAACATATATTTAAAAACACAAAAAAAACACCCCAGTGTGTTCATGGTAATAAGGTAAAATGATTTCCACAGGAACGGTCTTTAACTGATTCTTCTGTTCACTTTAGGGGCAGATTTTGACCACTAGTGGTGCTCTGGAGCTGTGATTTTGGACACTCAGTGATACACCGCCTCATACAGCTACTAACTTTTCTACCAATACAATCCAAAAGCATACCTCCAAGTGCTCTTTACCCTTACCTGTTGTTGGAAGGAGCATGTTGCTCAAAAGAAACCAGAATGATCCCTCCAGAGTTTAAGAGGGTGGATGATATTATTAGTTAATAATTGACTTCATTTGATAAGTTCTCTTGTCTAAACAAGTCTTTGCTCAAGATTCGTAGGTGTTGTGGAGCTTTCCATGGTCTTAATCTAAATCTTAATCTTATAATCTGGAGATAAAACTGGTTTGTCATCGCTGCCATTTCAAGGCTCACAGGGGGAACTTTGAAACTCAGTTTTTAAGCCAGAGCGGATTATTATGATTCCTTAATTTGAACATCTGTATTTCCACGACAGCTGGACAAACTGCCTGCTGATGAAGACCAGTGATTAACAGCTGTAGAAAAGCTACCAAGTGGACCACGAGGTGAAATGATTTTAGTTTGTTTCTGGTTCATAAATTTAATTCTTTTCCGTGATATAAATGTTAATGACAGAGGGTTTATGTCTTTATTCTGTGAGCTTTGTTACAGGAGTTATTATTAATCAAAACTTTTCAATATGCTTTATAATGAGAGAGTGTTTTTTTGTTCTGGTTTGGTTTCAGAAAGTTGCAAAGGATTCCTGTCCAGATTCCATTTTATCCTGCACATGCTCAGTTAGGGCTGAGTGAGGTCTGCTTGTGCCAGTATTGGATTTTTGGAACGTAGAGTGTATGTTGCAATCCACTTTACATCTAAACACTGGTGTAAGCTGCTCAGGTGAAAAGCAGACATAATGAATGCGGTGGGTTTGGCTTTGGTCACACTGATATGGAGGGGTTGGGAGGTGTGTGTGTGTTTGGGGAGGGAGGGGGGGAGATGGAGAGAGGCTTGTAGTTTAAAATGCGATGTGACAGCTCAGGAAAGGGGAGGGTGGGAGGGATGATAAAGGCGCTGTTATTGGATCAATCTGCCCCTGAATGCCCCTGTAAAGCAGGAAAAAAAAAAAAAAACAACTTACACATACATATGAGGCGGGAGCGCGCACGCATGCACGATGGCGCGTAAAAGAGGAAGACAGAGGGAGAGAGAAGATTGGTTTAAAGTTAGAAGAAAGCAGGTTTTTTTCCCCCTTAAAAAAAAATATAACAGGTTATATTCCTGAGAATTTAATGGAGTCGGCCTATCAATCACTTGGCTATTTCCACACGCCAGCTTAGCCTCGTCCTCATTGTTTTGACAGGGCTGAATTAAAGGAGCGCGCCAGGTGTAATTAGTGATCGATCCGGACAGAAAAACGCTCCCTCCCTCCCCCCCCCCCCCCCCCCTCTCTCTCTCTCTCTCCGTTACTCCATTAACCGCGTCTCTGACGTCACGGGGCGATTAACGTTTCTTATTGGTCCCGCGAGCAGATGGAGGAGTCCTAATGAGCTGGCTCGCGGAGAGAAAGAGCAGGGTTGACATCTCGGCTGGACCGTAAACGTGAAATACCTCCCATCGCCCGGTCTCCGCCGCCTCACTCCAGAGCGCACCGTGGCCGCGGGAGACGGCCGTCTGCCTGGGTTCCCTTCCCTTCGCACCTCCTCCTCCTCCCTCCTGTTCCTCCTCGCCGCTTCTTCCTCCTCTCCCTGACTTTTTGTTTTTTTTCCCTGACTGCATGTTCAGCCACACTGCCTCCCTCTGCATCTTCACTTCGGCCCCGCCGCAGCCCGGGCGAGCATGGACAGTCGGGTACTCGAGCATCCTCACGCCCAGTTCGGAGGCTCCTTGGGCGGGCTGGTGGGCTTCCCGTACCCGCTCGGTCCCCATCACCACCACCACCACCATCACCAGCACGTCTACGAGCTCGCAAGCGGACACCAGCTGCAGTCGGCGGCCGCCGTGCCCTTCTCTATAGACGGATTACTTAACGGCTCTTGCTCGGCCTCGGTGGTCAGCTCCAACCCGCTGCTCTCCCCCGACAGTCAGCAGTTCAAACTCTCAGGTAGGCCTGCCTCTTTTTGTCTCCTGTGGAAACAATGCCCTGTGATAACAAGTGGGGTAATTGTAGTGTTTTATGGCCAAAGAAGACTATTTTATCAGACTTTGAGAAAACTGTTTATAGTCTTTGAGGAGAGATTTTGAAAGAGAAAGTCTACAGAGAAAAAGGTATCGTTTAAAAGTTCTGGAGCTTAATGAATTATAAAAACACATTAAAAAGTTCAAGCACAGGCTCAGCTCCAACAATTTTAATGTAAAAATTTCGCTGCAGGAAAAAACAAAAAACAACAACTCATGCTGTTTTTATGCGTAATTAATGCGTAAAACTGGATCTCACAATTATTATGAAATGTTCTTAAATATCTAAATTTTCCAAAAGTAGCTGGTAGGCGTAGTATTTATGACCTGATTTATCTGTGGCACCAAAATGTTTAAAAAGCAACGTGTGGCAGCTTCAGCTTTTTCACTAAACTGGGTTAAATTTGCAGTCCAACTGTGCCATAAATCTGGTAGCATGAACATCTCTCTCTCTCTCTCTCTCTCTCTTTTACGCACACACACACACATACATACTCACACGCATTCATAAACACACACTTGCACAAACACACACACACACAAACGTCGACAGATTCGGGGGACCCGGATAAAGACAGTCCCGGTTGTAAACGGAGGCGCACGAGGACGAATTTCACCGGGTGGCAGCTGGAGGAGCTGGAGAAGGCTTTCAACGAGAGCCACTATCCAGATGTGTTCATGCGGGAGGCGCTGGCGCTCCGGCTGGACCTCGTGGAGTCCAGGGTTCAGGTAAAGACGAATAAGTCACATTTATATATATTTTAAGAAACATTATTTAAGCTCAGGCGTTTCCTCTCTGATTTATTTGAACTACGGCTCTGATTTTTCAGTAAATCTCAGCGTAACGTTCATCCATAAGACAGTGTTCTGTCCTGGCCCAGGAAGGCCTTCCCCACACTGAGGCAGCTATTTGTCAGTTATCAAAGCATCAATAAAGAGTCTCTTTTGAATTATGCATGTAGGCAACCTATTGATTTATGGGTTAATAAAAACAAGGCTATTTACTGAGCAAACCAGGGGGTGAAAATAGTAAACAGTATTCTTTCTTCACCGTCATTTTAAATGTCCACCTTATTTGATAGTATTTTTGCTTTATTCACCACCCTGCTCTTATTTTATTTCTTTAAAATCTTATTTTGTGCCTATTTCTATACTTTTACGTGGTTGATTTAAAGATTTCAAATATTTTCAAATAGATAAATAGTAGTGGTGCTCTTATTAATTTTAGACATTTATTATT